TATCAATTCCAACATGTCGGTCCCTGCCATCACAGTTTTTAAAGTTAAAGTCACCTGAACGAAATTTGCTGAACCATCGTTGACACTTACAAACGTTCAAAACATTTCCATAAACTTCTTTGATATTATTTGTGGCTACAGAGGCATTATTTCCCTTCTTGTATTCAAACATCATTACATGCCGAATGTGTGTCTCGTCGTGTGCCATCACTATAAGGGATTAGAGTATACTAAATTTTACACATTATATAGGGTACACTAACGTGACGTTTAGGTGGTTTGTTTAACTATTATACGCGATGTACGTCTTATGGGGGTGGTTAATGAAGGTGTTCCAAAATGCAACATCAATTTCTTGACGACCTAATATTTTCAAAACTTCTTTTTATCTGTGAATATTTAAAGATTTCCATTCATGAAGTCGTCATTCTCCCCTATCATAAGAATACGAAGAAGGTATGTTAATAAAATTATTTATCTTTTATTAGTTGAAATATTTTAATATTAAGTAGGATGCTTATTTGGAATGAAAATATATTTTGTAAATACACACCCACAGACTTTGAATATGCATATTTCAATCACTCGTCAGAGATATTTCTTTGTTCAATTCTGAATAAAGTTCTTTTATTCATACTCCATTAGAATAGATTTAAAATTGTCACAAGTTCTAAACATGTCAAACAAAATATGGTTGTTTACGCCATCTTACGAGAAGTACAAACCCATTCTGTTAATTCCTAATGTCTGCTGGAAATAGAGACATTAATAGCACGACACATACAATGTACACGTTAGAACGTACAATGTATCACCAATTCTGATTGGCTACTTCGAACAGAGAATTTAGGCCAATGGCACATCTCACAATGGGCTGCTCTCAAATCTTATTCACACTAATGGTATGTGAAAGCGGCCATGCCTATGCCAAGAAGAAACGGGAAGTGATAGGACTGAGATAAGTGAAATTCTGGCTAGTAATATAACACCAATATACCCCCTACATTTTTCTCCCACATTTAGGCAAAATCTGAGAATTATTTCAAGGGCTTCAAGAAAAAAAAGTTGTATTTCTGCCAAGATTCCAAAAAATCTCATGCCTGAAAAGTCCAACTAAAAATTTTCACTGGGATTTAAAAAAAACTTAAAAACAAATTAATTTATATTACAAGTCACACCAGAAAAATAAGCATCACTTATTCAAGATTATGTATATTATTAATATCCTTAAATAGTACTGGCATTTTTCTTATTGGTATCTTTATTAGAAGATTAAATACTTCAAGAAATTACTAGTCAAAAATGAAGTCATTTAAAAACATAAATTTTTTAGTGGGTGAAATGTTTTAAAATTTTAACTGCTGCGATTTCCATGGCTGTTAAAATTCTTGTATGCTCTTTAGTGTTAAGATTGATAAGTAGGTGTAAAAGAACGTTGACCAATCTCATTAAATAAAGTCATTCATCCATCTTTGAGAGGTCTTTCATAGCTACCTTCTTGTGTGCCTTCCATCATTAAGCTTTTTAACATCTTATGTCTAACACGAAGAACCTTGTGGTACAGAACATATCGAACATTATATAAAGTAATCACGCATACCCACATAAAGATGCGAATACACGACAAACTGACGTAAAAGTACAACAACCAACATTTATTTTAAATATGAAGACATGTGACAACCATGAAGCACTGCCTCAGAAAGACTAGTATCAAAGAAAAGACTCTGTACATCTCCTATTTTAGAGAAAACACTTAAACAAGGGGTAAAGGAAGGAAAAAACAAACAGGATTATATTAAGTGACTCTCATCAAAATAAAATTACTGAAAACAGAAGGTCAATCCCCCCTCCCCCCAACCTTTACACAGTTAAGAATGAGTATAAAATACGAAAGTATCCTCCAGACAAATAACTCGATCGTAAAGATATCACAATACGTATTATTGAGTGAATATTACACACGCACACACATATTGATGTACATATAAATACCCTTGATTCAGACCACCTCCATTTAACAAGTCCGAAAATCCAAATCCAAATCCTGGAACTCCAAAGAAACCATGTTCTCTCCTGTTAACAGCTCCTGCAAAACAAACAAAACAAATATTAAATTTGTGTCTCCTACTACCTTTACAAAGAACTGGAGAACCGGATCAGGCACAAATCGCTGGTTTAAACTGTAAAAAATAAACTATTTTTTTGTAGAAAAACAATCGTTACATTTACATTAGAAAGGATAATAAAGGTGCAAGTCACTGGTTAAACCGAAGAAGCATTTCTTTAAAATAAATACAACCAACAACTAAATTCACATCAGAAAAGAAACACAATCAAAATACTCTTGAAGAAATGAAATTAAATAGCAATGAAAAACGTTGAAAATACTTTTTGAAATTAACACTCCGTCAGTATTATGTTTTATGTAGTTGAATAGTTCACCCCCTTTCTGTTGGAAATATGTGAAATTACTTTTTTCTACACTCCCACTAAAGTTTATAAAACCTTAATTAAATGTTTTGTTACCTTCCATACTTAGCTTCTGAAAACACAAATGATTAGAAAACACCGACACAAATCAGCAGTTTACTGTACCCATGAATTTCATCGTCAAGTTTTTGATATCTAGAACACATTAATTTTTCAGCAATACAAGAGCTGATAATGTTGAAGTTATCACTTCACATATCAAAGAATTAACAACTTTAGTCATAAAAATAATCTAAGTTGGAAAAACTGCCAATTAAAAAAAAAAAATCTATATATTAATTTCGTCCCTCTAAAGTTTGGACTTTTACTCCTACAGGTGTGACCTTTGTTTCCATCTCTTTAAACTCGTATCTGTTTATGACACCAAATATATCCAAGTTATTTCCACTTTGAGTTACAAGAAGTTAGGTTTTCCAAAACTTGTTCATGAACCACTAACTAACTAAAAATACCATAAAGTTTTGGCATCTAAGAGAAGATTGAAAGAAAACACTTTAAACCAAACTGTTTTCTAATTTTTTTAAGTTTCATAACCATACAATTAATGTATAATAAAACTGTTGCAAAAGCATTTTAAATTCAGCCTACATCTACACATAACTTCCAATTACTGGTGAAACTGTTTTACATGGTAATAATAGACAGACTCACTTCTGTGATTAAGAGCATGCTATTAATCTACAGGTATACCGTGCATAAAACCAAGTTTTAAGTAGATCTACAGTGCTATGAAAATTCTAGTTATATTCTCATTTTTTTACTTTTTTAAAATAAAATCTAGTGTTTTTTTTTGTTTTTTTTATAAGTGAAATACTGTTATGACAGCGGAAGTCACGCAACACTGGGAGCATGAGCACTGGAGTTTCTAGAAGGATCATGAATTTTCCTGGCAACTCTAGTTTGTTCCAGGTGCCCTCTTTTTTAGTATATAAGCCAGGCAAATAAAGCCAGCGGAAAAAAGATAGAATTGCATAGATAGAAAATTGAGTCAAGCAAACAGTAGGCACCGTAAGTAAAGTGTGTAAATCACTGTGAATTATAGAGTGTGTTTATAAAAGTAGTTAAGTTAAAGTGACTGTGGAAATTTTGTGTATTACAAAGTTGTATCGAGAAAGAATAAACTAGTTTTATTTAAGAAAGGACTTATATCGCTGAAGTTCCTTAGAAAGAATTTATACCGGAAATTAACAAATGAACAGAGACGTAACAATACTAACTGTAGATAAGTTGCAAGTTTAAAAATGATGCTTTTTTAAATGAATAGATTATTTTACTTCAGGCAACAAACCTATATTATTGCCCAAAGAAAACTATAGTTTCTGGCACTAATAACATTTAACTCCCCAGCTAGAACAAAAACATGACACATTACCAGACTGACTGAAAGAGGTTATAGGTCAATAAAAATATCATCAAATCAGTTTGTCAACCAAGAAATTAGCGTGGCTTAACTATGAAGATCTACATTATTAGAACAGCTGATGAGGGTTAACACTGCTTGAAAGTAGACATGTCAACTCTTCCACTGTGGCCAGAAAATCCCACCTGTCAGCAGCACGTATTGTGCTTTCCTCAATAATGTCCTCCAGCAACATAGTTCTGCTCTGATTTCACAAATAACCAGCTTAACCCTTGTTTTGAGTGACTGTGTCTACTACACGAGTTCTGATTGGACCTATCCTAACATAAGACTGTCTTTAGACCAATTATGGAGCTTGTAAACATAGATTCAGACAATTCTCCTGTGGAGAAGCTAGGAGGCAGATTCTTACCAATGAACTAGACCTTTGTATCGAGCTTGTAAATGTGGTGATGGATAGTAATGGTTATAAAACATGATGTCTTCTTGAAGGAAAAAAATTAATACTTACAAAAGAATAATTTATCAAAAACAAACTCGTTACTTTATTTGGTAGACAAAATAGAAATTGAGGTTAAAAATAATGTGATAAAAACTTACTGGAGTCACCCATTCTTGACTGACTGGATGGTCTACCAAAGAAATCAGCAAAGGGATCATTTTCAAAAAATTCTCTGAAAACATCCTGTGGATCTCTGAACACAAAACCAAAGAACTGATTAAGATCAGGTTCAAACATTTCATTTATATCATGGTGTGTTCTATGGCCCTGTTGACCAAGTAGTCCCTCTTTTCCGTATTTGTCATATATTCTTCTTTTATTTTCTAGAAAAAAAATAAAATATAATCACTTTATTCCAAACTGTATGTTTTAAGACAGATAAAGTACGTGGAGACACGCTAAAATTATTTGTAAATATATTATTCATGTTATTTTCACATTTATTTACTTGTAAATAATTTTCTATGTGAAGGAACTATACATAATAACATATTTTACTACAACTGTACATTCACTATGAATACCTCCACCAAATCTCTGTGTTTGTACTGTTGCTGAATGTCTTACAAAATACATAATGTTTTATGTTTGGCAACAACGTTTTTCCATTTACAACATCAGTTGGCAACAGATTTTATTCACTGGTCAGTGAAAAAGTGTATGTTAATTGCATCATTTTGGGCATTCAGTGAAGAAGTAAAATAGCACATGTTCTGCAGCAGAAATACGTGGGTGGTATTCACTTATACAAGTGTTTGAAGTAGGTCATCATCCCAAGCTAAACATACTGTTGAAAAAGATAACACTCTCATATAAAAGAAATTACAATCAACAGATAAAAAGATAAGTCAAGTAAACAATATCTTAATAATCACTGAACAATTAAAACAGTCACATTTCTACAGTACTTTAATTGAACATGGTCAAGATGACAAATTCTAAGTTACAGTGACCTTTTTGACACCCAGAGTAAGCCTTCAAATTATATTCAGTCAGAGAAAGTATAATTTCAACATTAAACACAGTCTACCACCTTACCTATAATAACAGTGAAAATCATTAATTAATGTAGAATAGCAATAGGCAGTGAATTGAAATATAATTAAATATGCCTAAAGATCTTGGAAGATGACAAAATGAGAACCTGAAACTTTTTACATCAATCCATGAATATCACACAAAAAAAAACTTACCATCTGACAATACTTCATAAGCTTCTGAAATTTCTTTAAACATAAAATCTGCCACTTCTTTCCTGTCCGGATTTTTGTCAGGATGCCATTTCAAGGCAAGTTTTCGGTACCTGATGTAGTAAAAGTTAGATAACACAATTTTTAGTAAGACAACTATGGATTTTCTATTTAGGTCTTAGAGTTTATTAAGTAGAAATAACATACGAGACCAACAAAGTTGATTGGTTATAATTTTCTTTAATTATAGTTCGTGACTTGCTGGAAATACTTAACTGTTATTTTAATTAAAGGTCACATTTTTTTAAGGATAATACATACCGCAACAAATAATTAACTTAATTAGCTAATCTACAGACCTAGTTCTTGCATAGTTAACTGTGTGTCATGATTTTGTATTCTGTGTAATATATTTAACAAGCAAGATCTACTTTCCATTACAAAAAAAAAGACAATTATGTATGGATTTACTTGTTGATATCCTAGGTTTTCTATCGTGCTTTTGTATAAATATGCATTTAGACTTGCCATAGTCAAACACTATGATTTACACACTACCATAAAAACTTGTACTACAAACAACCTGGCCTTCTACTCTGGGTTTCTTTCACATGGTTTACATGACTTTGAAGTAATCATGTTAAATTAATGAAAACTTTTATTGAAATTTGTCACTTCACCAGAAATGTCCAAGATAAATATCTGTCTCTTAGACTGAAAAATTCATGAAGCACAGAAAAAACAACCTAAGATATATTGAAAACTGAAAAATTACACAGGCCTGTGATGGTTTTATTGTCTTGAAATTTTTACATGTTCTATTGTAATTCCTGTACACTGAATCCGAAAGTGATATCCATTTTTCTCCATTATGTACAGATTTTTCACAAAAATTCATATAAAAAAATTTACCTAAGTGAATCATTTTCATTGAAATTGGGTCACACTTTGTTGTGCTTAAAATGTTGACAATCACTGGCTATAGATTTCTATACACCAATCGCAACATGATTCAAGACACCGCTAGTATATAAACGGTTAACAGGCCACACGATGTGTCATTTCTGGATAGTACTTGTTTGGGCATGCATTTTAATATTATTTATTCATTGCTATGGTAACAAGAGGTTGTGTAAATGACCCAAACATATTCTGTTAAATTAGTGGTAAAGAAAACATTACAGAATTCGACAAAAAGTATATTACGCATACTTTGTAATAAAACTTGGGGACCAAGACAAATCATGGGATCTGCACAAACTTTGCACCATTTGTGTTGAGACAATGGACTAAAGGTAAGAAAAAGTATTTGCCTTTTGGAATTCCAATGGTCTGGTGCGAGCCTAGAAACCACGGAGATGTCTGCTATTTTTGCTCATGTAACGTGCAAGGCTACAACAACCAAAATAAAAAAGGAAATTTCTTATCCAAACCTTCACTGTGCTATAAGACTTGTTGCTCATGGACCTGATGTACCTGTACCTACTCCGCCTGAGACTCTTGATACAGTTTCATCTGATTCTGAATCTGATGTCAA